TGATGTAACGAGATATTTTGTTACAAAATGACGTAACCAAGATATAAAGTATATAAATTACAATTGGGTAAATATTGATTTAATATTTATTTGATTGAGATTACTGATTATAATAACTAGAAATTAAAAGTACCATTATTGAATGTATTTTCTTTAAAAAGCTTATACAATATGTTGGATCTTGATTTTTCTTCTTAAATATTAAACATGCTTGATATGGTTTGATCAGAAGCCTGAATCATCAATTCTTAAAGAACATTAAAGACTGAAAAACTTCAATTTTCATGTAAAGTGCTAGTTTTATTATTTTTATTCAATTCTAAAAATAATTGATCGTAATATAAATAACTATACAATAAATTAACAAACAAATAATAAAAAGCATACTTAATAATTCTTTCGCTGAATGAAATAAATTTTCAAAGTCAATATTATTTGTGTCTTGAAACTCCAAAGAACTCATATCAAATGTGATCTCTTGCTTGTTCACATTTTGATGTAAATCATTGTTTTCTATAGAATAAATATAAATAAGACAATAAAAAAAAATTTTTATAATAAAATTTACCAATTAAATTAGATGATTTTCCAATGATCTTTAATGCATTAAGAAATCTGTTTAAACCTTCATGTTGCAATGTTGATTTAGATCGCTTATATAAGTAAAGCCCTTGTTAAGTTTTATATCTTGTAATAGACATAACAATAGAATCACTATATCCTAATTCTTTAAGAACCTGAATAGCTATTTTATGACCTGAATAGTTCGATATATTTCGATCATCTATTTTAATTTCTACATTTTCACATATTGATCTAAAAAGACTTTTAAGACTTCTTTCAGGATATGAATAAGCATAAAACCATTGACTATTAAAAGTAGCTAATAAAAAAAGATAAGTATTAATATAAATATTAATAATTAAATTTTTTTAAATTAATAAATATATTACTTATTACATTCTTCTTGACACGGCTTTAAATAATTTTTTTTAGGTACAAATGAAGGTCTTTTAGAGAAATAAAGCTTATAATCATCGATTACATCTTTAATATTAGATAAACTAATAGTTTCATCCTGCGTATCTGGATTACTAATTCCTTGTTGATTTGTTTTTGATTTAAATAGTTTAATATCTATTCTACTATCATATCGTTTGATAAAGTTATCTAATAAAAGTTCATTATGCTCTTCACCATGCAATGCTAAAAGAATCAAATTATAAAAAAATACCCTTCTCAAAAGTCCTTCAGGTATATTTTTTTTGCATTGTTGGATGTAAAAGTATAGTCTCAACCTCTTCCAATATTAGTGCTGATGCACTATTCCTTTCTTCAAATTCTTGTGTGGTTAAACTTTTCAGCTTCCCATTTAAGGTAGCATTAAATTCATGAAATACTTTTGGATTAAGTAAGTCTACAGGTTTTGGA